CACACACACACACACACACACACACACACATGGTTTCCTCCTTCTCTTCTGATTTCCATCCCCCTAACTCTGTCCCATTTGCCCTATGGATCCAGCCAGATCCCTGGGCTGTCCCTTCCCTGGTGACTCCGGAGCGTTCCTTATTTCTCCTGCATCTCCCTGTCTGTAGGCTGAGGCCTCCCCACCAGGGCCTGCAGTGTCTAGCTCCCTGTCCTCCCCGCCTTCTCCTGTGTCTCTGCCTCAGGCAGCACCTCACTGACCACCTTGGTCCACTGTGACTTCGTCTAGGAGAGGATTCAGGCCCCCCTGCCTACGCTGCCCACTTTCTCTGAAGCGCCCTGATCCCTCCTGCACCTGGCCACTTCTATGGCTGGACAGAGCCACTGCTCTGACCCTATGCTCTTCCCTGAATGGAGCTCTTCCTTCGGACATAGCCACAAGGCCACCAGGACTGAACAGCAAGTCATTTAATCAGAAAGGCTCAGACTCAGATTTAAATTCTTAGATCTCTCGCCCCTCATCCCCAGCACCACGACCTTTTCTCCATCTGCCTGACCTTTGTCATTGCTTCCCTCACGCACCTGGACCTGGCCTGGGACGCCTCTGAACTGTGACAGCTGTCCAGCCAGGGGGTCACTGCACTGGGACCAGCTCTCTCCCATGCAGTTACAGCTTCCAGCATCTTTGATCCTCAAACACTTGCAAAGCCTTTCCCCTCACGGTCAGAGTCCATATTTCTCACCCTGCTGGTCAGGGTCCAGCAGAATTTGACTTCAGTCTCTCTAGAGGGATCAGCAATTATCTCCCTGTACTCCACTTTCTGATGAAGTCAACCCGGACTTCCTGTCTTAACACACGCTATGGTTCCTCTGCAGTGCCAGGGCTGGGGCTGTAGCTCAGCGGTAGAGAGCGTACTCAGCAGGAACGAGGTCCTGGGTTCCATGCCCAGCACTGCAAAATAAAAACCTGTCTTGCAAAGCAAAAGCCCAAGCACAGCTTCCTGACTGCACATGTCTGCCCCCTGCTGGAGACTGGAGGGCTAGAACTGTAGCTTCACAGAAAAGCCCGGGCTCCTCATTAGCTGCATTTAGAATCCAGTCATGGCCCCGTTGCTAACTTGCTGGGAGTCACAGCTGCTGATTTCTCAGAATATGTGTTTTCTAATCAGCAAGGTAGGCAACTATTACCCATCTTACAAAATTGATATGAACATTAAATAAGATGAGCACGTTAACTAGCGAATGGAGTGCCTGGTACAGTTCAGACCCTTAATAAACATCCCTCTGCCTTCACTCCTTTGTGTGACTTTATATATCTTTGTCCTTCTCTTAGTCATACACATTTTAAATTTTTATCTTTGTCCTTCTCTTAGTCATACACATTTTAAATTTTTATTATTACTGTGAAATTATTATAGTGCCACAAAATGAATTTGTTTTAAAAACTGGCAATAGGGCGTATAGGTCAGCGGTGGAGCTCTTGCCTGGCATGTGCGAGGCTCTGAGTTCACTTCCCCAGCACTGAAAAGAAAAACTGGTAGGCAAGAGAATAAATATGGACAGGTGAAGTAGCATTAGAATAAGGTACAAGCATACTGGAGTAATTACAGTGGTGCCTCGGTTCACGAACTTAATTCTTTCTACGATTCTGGTCGCAAACTGAATTGGATGAGAACTGAATCAAACTCAGTGGTTAAGGTCAGTGTTGACCTTATGGGGAAATGTGATTTGTCCTCATGCAGTTCAGCTGGTGCCCGGAATCGTGGAAAGAGTTAAGTTTGTGAATTGAGGTGCCACCGTATTTAGCATCGATCTCTATGTAAATTAATACTTCCACAAATGTATTTTGTGCATAAATTATGATGAATGTGGTCTGCTAATATTTCCTGTTTCATTCTTAAAAAAGTAAATTAGCTTGATAAATTATAACTTGTCCATTCAAGTAAAGCAAATAAAGATTCCCTTGAACCAATAAATTAACTCTGAATTACAGAAATGGGCCTGTGTCATTCACCAAAATACGAAAGCTTTGGTAATCAACCGCTGGTCAACACGGATAATTAATGGGTTGAGGTCCCACATAAATCACATCACAATGTACACTGTGGTCTGTGTTCTCCTCTGCAGAATTCCACACAATACTGTCCTTAACATGGGAATTTGCTCTGGCTTCTGTAAGGTGTTACACAGCCACATACATTCTCAACTGGCTCTTGCCCCTTTCCTCCAGGGACGAGGCCATAGTTTGTAGAAAGTCACACAACTGCTGGGACACAGAAGCAGGAAGCACCTCCAACCCTACGTGCTCGCAGGAGGACTGGCCAGGGTTACTCCATGAAGTACAATATTCGAGCAAAGGCTGTGCCTGCACAGAGTGGGGTGGGTGAATCCCACGCCCCAGGCAACAAAGGCAAATCTGACGCCGTTGAAATCTACAGCTCTGCAAAGGGATGCAAGGATCAAACTCCTTCAGTTGGAGACATCAGCTCTGAGCTGATTGGAGGACTGGCCAGGAAGCAGGAAGCACCTCCAACCCTGTGTGTCCTCACTCTCAGACTGGGTCCTGGCAGAAGCCTTTCCTTTGTGCTTCGCTTTCCCACTCAAAACCACTTTCTGCTTCTTTCATTGAAAAAATACTGTTCTTTCGAAAGCAGTCGATTCCGCTGCATGAAAAATAACCTTACCGTATCGCCTCCAGTCCACACCAGGGGGCAAGTGTCTCCACAGAATAAGGTTGTTCAGATGATTTAAGTAGGAAGGCAGGGAGTGAAAGCTCTTCTGATTATACCACACCTAGAAAGGAGAGATAATTGAATGACTCTCCAGCCGCCTCCGGGTACAGGAATGCAGGCGTCCGTTAGCATCCACAGCACCTGAGAAGACGACGGCAGCCTGGCCAACACCGAGCAGTCAATTCCAGTCTGCTAATTTTATATTTATCTCAAGCATATAATTTACAGCTAAAAATAGATTAATTTTTCCCCAGAACAAATGTGAACGTTGCTCTATAATTATAGTCTCAGAGGGAACAGGGAGCCAAAGCCCGTCATTTCTTTTCTCCCTTTCTCGGTTGGTAAGCTAATGAAATTTGACCTGCGAATTAAAACCGTGGAAGATGATCAGAGGGAAAAAAAATTACTTTCAAATGAATAATGGAATGTGGATCGTTATTCCTCAAAACAAATGGAACTGAACGCTTGCTGAGCACGGAGAATAAAGCTGCACACCTCTTGGCAACCAGAAGGGTGAAGGAGGAAGTAAGGAGCAGAGAGACAGTGTCAGTGAAGCCGGGATGGTAAGTATCCGAAGGATCCTACACAAGCCGTCACCACCCACACTGCACAATCTCCATGTTGCAGTGCAAAGTAGATGCTCAGTCTGGGAACTGGAAAGTGTCCTCAAGAAATGCAGAGAACCAAAGGGAGCAGCAGGTCTTAATTCCGCCCACCGAAGTATTCATTTCCCTACACAGCACTGTCTTTTGCAAGAGACAGTCCACTCACGAGGGTCAACGCTGCCCCCAGAAAGTTCACCTGCCTCACGTTTTCACCACAGTTCGTGCAAGGTGAGAACCAGACCTGCAGTCTCTGCCTTCAACACATCCTGCGATGACCAATGCTCTTTACGCGAGATCCTCTGGGGCCGCTATTATGGCCCTGGACAGCTAAGTTCTCAAAGATACTGCAGTCCTTTAAACCCAAACCAAAGTGCTCGTCATCAAGACCGTGCTCTCGCATTTTCTCTCAGCCCCATCCACAGAGCACTTCAGAAAACAGATCCCCAGTCACCTTCACACCTCTAACCCCCTTTTCTCGAATCTTGTACTTCATGGAGTAATCCTGGCCAGTCCTCCTGTGAGCTCCAAGGAGAGGGGATGAAGTTTGGGAGATGTGCAGCACAGAACTCGGGACACCCCAGGAGCTGGCTGCACCTGAAGAGTGGGATGGGTGAATCCCACGCCCCAGGCAACAAAGGCAAATCTGACGTTGTTGAAATCTACAGCTCTGCGAAGGGACGGAAGGACCAAACTCCTTCAGCTGGAGATGTGAGCTCTGAGCTGACCGTGCTCAACTCCCACGTCAGAAGCAGGTCCAGCTCCTCCGCCCAAGCAGAGCTGTCCCTCCTGTGGGTCGCCCTAGCCATCACAGCCCTCAGACACGCTGCACAGGTGTCCTCCTTGTGCAAAAGAAACCCGCATCCTGTGAAAGACTAGGAACAGGCTGATTTAGAAAACTCACCTCTGGAAGCTGGAATCTCCGCTGGACCCCATCTGAGAACTCTACCTTCTCTTTCTGTTTTTGGCTTTGTTTTTATTTTTATTAGTACATGCTTGCAGTACAAAAGGACTTCCTGCCTCATGGGGAGTTGGTACATGTACCTAACACATCTTTTTTTTGAGACAAGGTCTTGCTATGCAGTTCAGGTTGGCCTTGAACTGACTTACTATGTAGCCCAGGCTGGCCTTGAGCTTATGGTGATCCTCCTGCATCAGCCTCCTGAGTGCTAGGATTACAGGTGTGTGCCACCACGCGCAGTTTACTAACACATGTTAATTCTTTTTACTTCCCCTTCTCCCCCATCTCTAAGAGTATCTTTTTAAAGAAACAGAGTTTCACTGTGTAGACCAGGATAGCCTAAAACTCGGGATCCTCCTGTCTCAGCCTCCCAAGTACTCAGATTAGGAGCACCCACCACCAGGAAAAAAATCACAGAAATAATGATTGCCTTAGCCTGAGCACTGGAGGCATTCACATTTTGTTTTGTTTTGCTTCACTTACATGTTTAAATCTTTGTTTTAAAAGCAGGATGACTTCTTTTCAACTTAGTAATACAAGACAGTGGCACACAGAAGGGGAGGTGGGCTGCTGGGATAGCAGGAAGTGGGCGACAGGGTTGCCCTCCCCACCCCACCCCCACCTCACCCTCCCTGGGCTGAGGGCTCAGCTTCTGACGGCGACCTGCCCCTAGTCCTCCTGCGCCCACACCCAGGCTCTGCCATGGACTTCACGCCCCTCCTGACTCTAGGCTCTGCTGCCGCAGGGCTGGTTTTGGCCCTTGGAATACGACAGTGGCAGGGGTTTAACAGGCACACGTCTGTCCCTGCGACCCTGCCTGGGCCTCCCACGCCACCAAGGGTGCAGGCTGGGCCTCCCTGGCAGAGGTCAGGACACAGACTGAGATGAACACTGAACCACACCCGGAGTGATATTCCTCCGACTTTCTGCTCCCTGGTCGTCCATTCTGAGACACCCTGGCCCTGCTCAGACCAGAAGCAGGGCTCTGTCAACCTGACAGGGCTTCCGGCCCTCACCTCCTCCCAGCTGCTCCGCTTGGCTGATCCAGCCTGGCAATCTCCGCCCTGTGGGATAAGTCAGGCAGGTACAGCCTACAAGACCAGCCCTGTCCCCACACACCCCACACAGACCGGGCAGACGTGCAAAGGGCCTGCCTCTCCGAGGGACCTTCTGAAACTTGCACTTCTTGGTTTAAAGCCACCAATTAAATCTCCCTGTAGGAAACCTGCCTATTGCATTGGGCAGTACTCTCCCCCTCCCTCCCCCTTCCCCTCCCTTCCTCCCCCTCTCCCTCCGTCTCTCTCCCCTTTGACCTCTGTGCACGTGGCCTTTGGACAGGCAATGTACCCCTCAGGACCCATCAGTAATAAAATCTTCACTGCCATCTTGTAGCTCCACAAACCCCCTTAGTAGCCAAGGCAGCCCAGGCTGGCCTGTAGCTGCAGAGCCTTGCGGACTCCTGATCTACACCTGTATGTATGGTTGAGGCCTCTGAGGCTTGCAATTGCTGTTGCACAGCAATATTGTGACGACTCACACAGTACAGCACTAAGGGGGTGCGCTGCTGTAACAAAAACTGGAGGTGGGTATCCTTGCTTTTGAGATGCACAAGCAGCTGACACAAAGACATGGGGTGAATCTAGACGAAGTTGATGAATCTATAGGAATGCTGAGAAAACATCAAGAAAACCGCTATAGGCAACTACTAAGCTGGTGATCCACACTAGGTTTAAAATAGCTGGTGAAATTGTCAACTTCAAAAACAGAGCTCGTGCCCAGGGCAAGCTCTGGGTTGGGGATTTCTAGGCAGGATGTCAAAAGTCAACTTCAGAACAAAGATCCAGGGTGCGGCTCTGAGAACCGTGTTAAGATCACTGAAAGAGCGATGGTGCTACAGGGATATTCTGGGATATTCTGGAGATATTCAGAGAGGCCTGGAGCTTGCAGGGTGTTGCTCCCCACTCCCTGACATTCCCAAAGCCCAGGGTCTAATGTGAAGGAGAGCAACCTGCACCAGCAAGAACCATGAACGTGGTCTGTGAACCTGAAATACTGAAATAGCCTCAAATACTGCACAGGGACCTCTGCCGAGAAGCCGGGATTGGCTGGGCTCAGAGCACGAGGAAAACAGAGCCCAGCTTCCGACGGGCAAGCGGACAGCATCCTCTTCACGCATGCACCCGCAGAGGATTATGGGACAGGAAGTACATGGCGGCCCCGGAGGCAAGGGGCTTTGTGAGTGATGAGCTGGCAACTCTGCCAAGGGCAGAACCAGCACCCAGCTGTGGCGCATCGCACCAACAGGTCTCCAGGCACCACAGTTAGCACAGCCCGCAGCACCCTGAGCCGCACCCAGGAGCTAAGGCAGCCATGCTGTCAGCGCGCCTGGCTGTCCCGGCAGTTTGCCACGAGGTAGTATTTTGGCAGCACACGGTGAGCTCAAATGTGCAAGACAAACAGTTTGAAAGGTTCTTGGGCCCCCATCACTTCCTCTGTCAATTAGTTCTTCTTTGAGAGTGGTTCTACAAACCTCTTAAGTAAGCAGTGCACACTTCAGGATGGCCTTAAAATTAGCATGTAGGATCCTGTCACATTCAGAGGAAAGGCGTTTCTTTCCTTTTTCTTTTTCTTCCAAAGAGCAGTTTTCTAAAACTGCACTGTGTTCTGGAAGGAGTTGTGGGATTTCTTTTCCTGCTGGTCAATAACTCAAGAAGTGATAAAGTCCAGTGAGTGAGATAGGAAGTTAATCTCCTTTTAGGACCACATTGTGCCACCCGGAAACACACCTTTCATCTCCAGCATCCTGAGTAATGGCTCGCAGGAAAGTACTAGGTAGCAGCAGGAGAAGAAAACCACTCAGGGGACCTTCACTGGGGGATAAAATTCGAGGGCAGAATACAGTGCATGCCTCCAAAAGCGGAGGCAATGTGCTCAGAATGTATTTGGACTTTCTGAGCAAAGTATACATGTTCTAAAGAATGTTTTGATTGAATAAGCTAAACACTCAGAATGTGAGTAAAATAACTCCAGGAAAGGTTGCACAAGAGACATTTCACAGTATAATGAATCATGTGTTATGCATATTCATGTGCAAATTTCCCATTTTTTCTGCAAAAGGACTATGAAAATTGTATCACCCATGTCTTACGAATATAGCCTATAGGCAGAAAGGAACAGCCAGTCATTAATTACTGAAAGGTTAATGCAGTCATTTGATGGGACATCAGCCACCCCCAGCCTCCAGTGGGTACAGCAGATAGCAGACTGCCCTTCACACCTCACTGTGGTATCAGATTCCTCAGATCCCAAAAAGAACCTCAGATCCCGAGAAAGAACCTCACTGCCCAAAGGTCCACATGCAACTCATTTACAAGCCTGTGCCTGGCACAAAAGACATCGGACACCAGGAAAAACTCCAGAAATCACCACTCAGACATATCCAGTTCAGGGCAGGGGAACAATCTAAACCAAGGCAAGAGGAACAGGCATCAGGGAGATCTGGCAGCCCAACCCATCCCCAACAAGAGACCACCCCATGCCGTGGACATCTCAGAGCAAAGATACAACCGTCTATTGTAAATAAGAAAGCTTTGGATGTGACTCGATTGAAAAGTCAAAGCATGCTTCCAGGAAATAAACAGATTCTTTCTACACATTAGGTCTGTTTTGGTAACAGTGAACAATATGTTCCAAAATGTGAAGCAAATACATCTTGGGTGGTTTTTCTACCAAGTTATGAGTGATGATAGTTTCACATTGAGCTATCAGTCTTTCCGTTGCTTTGAAAGGAAGAGCAATTTGAACAGACCTCAGGTGAAGAAGGGATTTCTAAGCCTCCACACTGTGATTTAGAATTTTCTTCCAGGATTAAATGGTGAAGTGTGAGTAGGGAGGTTTTCATTGGGGATTACACAGGGAAGGACCTGCTAAGAACCTTTATCCACTGAGTAAACCTCCAGGGGCTTGGGTCCTCATCCTGTTCAACTTTCCCAAGCTCACTTGGACATCAAGTACCCCTGCTACAGAGCAGAGAGGCCCCCCCACAGGGCCCTGGAGATGTCGCCGTGTCATCAGCTCTATGATAAACTTGCTAGCAGGTACAATATCCACAGGCTAAGGAGGGACAGGGCTGTGGATCATTTCTGCAGTGACACCCTACGCTAGATTCACATTTGTCCTCTCTCCGTGGACTTACCTTGTTCTTGCCTATTTGTGCCCCGTGCATCACCCACTGTCCCCCGAGGGGTGAGCTCCCGAAGCTTTGATTCTCTCATCTCTGCTGCTTTTTCAGGCTGCGCTGACTTCTCTCCTGGGGAAAGCTTGCTGTTCACCACGCCCGTGTCCCTGCAGGTTGCTGAAGGTGCCTGTCCTCCACGCCCTGCAGCCCTGCCCCCGCCACCCCCTCTCTGCAGCGCCATCAGGACATTCCTAAGTCATGGGCAGTCCCGCTCAGGCCCTTAAAGACTGGTTTGGCGTCACTGCCACTACCTCCGTGCTGCTCATGCCCACCCAGCCTCCTGTAAGATGAGGAGATCAAGTTTATATACAAAACATTCCTTGGCCACCAGCGACAAGAGTGGCACTTCTAGCTAATGCAACTATGGAGATATTTAACGAGAGATGATCTCACTGGCTTTGGATCTCGCTGGTGAAGTCCTGTTCTGCAAAAAAAAAAAAAAAAAAAAAAAATGCAGTAATCCATTGGTTCTATTTCTAAACCATCCAAAGGAAAACAATTCAGTTTTCTCTTTCAAAGGAATGTGTATATACAAGCATCCTCAGTACTCAGTAACAAGCACCGGGATTGGATCTGACCGCTTCCCTCAACTCTGTGCTCAAAAATGTACTTGGATGTTGTTATGTTACTGGAGACAGGACCCAGGTCCTCACACTGAGCTACATCCCAGGCTTTTGAGTCCGAGACAGGCTCTCCCTAGTTACTAAGTTGCCCCAACTGGGCTCCAATTTGCCGTCTTCCTGCCTCAGCCTCCCAAAGTGTTTGAGACTCCAGGCCTGCACCACTGTGCTCAGCTTATATTTGGATTTTTAGCTGCCCTGGATACTTTCTAAAACAGGGAGAAAAAGGAAAAAGCACTATTACCTTTGCCAGAGTTCTTGGTTTTGAGGTGTTTGCGTTCTCATCTTGAACTTCGCCGGGGACCCGCACTCCGAAAGACCAGCCTCCAAGGCTGTTGAGAGTAAACACAGTGTCAGTGCTGGGACCAGGGGCACGGGACGGCCACCCAGAGGACGTTTGCCAGCCGTGCTGGTCAGAGCAGTCGCACGGTCCTCTGCCCAGACGGCGCCCAGCATGAGCACTGCTGATGAGGAAAGACCGGAGAGAGCACATTACGTGAGAGCGGGTGCTTCTCGGAACACAGCACTTTATCAGGAAGCGCATGCCACCTGAGGCCACGGTGGGGACCACAGCAGTTCAGGTCGTGCTCCTAGGAAGCCACCGCTCAGGGAAACTGGAGCCGTCACTACTTTGCTGTCCCCTTGGTTCATCGCCCTCCTCCGCTCCCTTCCTTCTCCATTAATGTAGAACCTGGTCCCTGAGGGGCCGGTGGGATTTTCCTCCTTTGCGGAATTCTCTCCGCACCCCACACCCCTCATCCCCAACCCTTATATCCACTGCCAGACGGGGTTTTGAGCCTGTGCTTGCGAGCTCATCTTTCAGGCAGCTCTGTGAGTTGCTCCTGGTGCGAATGGTCCCTTGTATCTCCGGATCTCCAAGGGCTGTGACACCCGGCACTCACTACACTTCCCAAAACAGCTGACATGAGAATGAAGGTACATATTAAGCTTTATTTCCCAGCCTCTGGGTAGAAAGAGACTGAAGAACTGTCACGTACCACAGCTCCCCACATACTCACTGGCAAAACTGAGACAAAGGGACAGGGATGTTACATCCCCAACTGGCCCCAAGGAATTCATTCATTCATTCAACAGACATGGGCTGAGCACCAACCATGACTACATGACATGCATTTCCGAGCAAGATGATAACTTCTGAGATGCAGGCCTTTTGATATGACAGAGACTATTCCAAGTTCTAGGCACACAAGCTCCCAGGCTCAAAGAGCTAGCCATCGGGGTTAGGAAAGAAAATCAGGGATTACAGGACAGGGTTAAAGGCACTGGGAGATGGCAGCAAAGAGCCACAGGAAAGCCACACTGGGACGGCCAGGTCTGTGTCTGGGGCCGGAGACAGACTAGCCAGCTTCCTGCACAGCCCACAGGGCACCTGTGTGTGTAATGCTATGCATGACGTGCAGGGGACTTAGAAAAATTCAGCAGTGTGGCAAGTGTCACTGAGATTTAAAGCAAGGAGGAATATTCACCCCCCTCACGTAGAGTGACTCACCCCCTCAGGATGAAGGAAAACCAGCACAGAGCAAAGGTTTTCCCAAAACTCGCCGAGGAGGAGCTTTAAGACAGGAGCCGCACCCTGGTCCCCATGCTGCATGGAATTCTAACAACAGAGAGCTTCATTTCATTATGCTGTTAACACAGCTGCTCTGGGTCCCTAAGGCAGTAAAATCGCTGCAGGCTTCCCTGCCTCGGCCCCTGACGGGAATCTCAATTGAGATGATTCCCCCAGTGCTTCAAAACTGGAAGTCAGCAGAGAGGAATCTGATTGGGGCCTGCAGCCCCGCTCCACGATTTTTATGAGCACCGAGGTGAGTGCTGGACTTTCACATTTTCAGGACCATTCACATCTGGAACAACGGCATTGTCAGCTTCTGTATCCGTGGTTCTGTGTCTGTATGTCCAAGCAAGCGTGGATGGAAAACAGTACAAGAAAACAGACTGCATCGGCATTAGTGTGGACCGACTATTTTTTTATCACAATTCCCTAAACAACACAGAGCAACAACGAATAGCACTTACATTGTATTAGATATTCCACTCATCTAGAGATGGTTTCAGGTACACAGGAAGTTGCATGAAGTTTCATGCAGATACTGTGCTATTTTCATTAGGACATGTGTGCAGTACACAATGTTTACCTTCCTCAGATGGAGTCAGTGTGCGGACATACACGTCTCCATTGCTTTTCTCCATCCTCTTTCGCTTCTCTCCTTTCCCCATCCCTCCAGCTCTGTCCCCTTCCCGTTTGATAAAGATCTATCTCCCTGTTTCTTATTATTTATCTTTCATTTTGCTCTTTATTTGTAATCTGGGTTTCTCACATAAGAGAATCCATGTGATACTTAAATTTATGCATCAGATTTAGTTCACTTAACATTATGGTCTCGAGGTCCATCCATTTTCCTACACGTGACCACGTCTTCCTTCTCTGTGGCAGAGTAGTACACCATTGTGAGCGAACACCACATTTGCTTTACCCACTCATCCGTGGATGGATAGATCTTGGATCAGGCAGCTCCAAGATGTAGCTATGGTGAATCGCACATGAATATGTATGGATCACTGTAATATGTGTCTTCGTCCCTTTCAGAAAGATACCTAGGGGGTCCCAGGACCCATCCCTACAGATAGCCAGGGACAACTGTAACTCAAAGACAATAGAAAAGACCCAGGGACAGTTCTGAACACACCTTGGCTTTTCAGACGGCACCAGTAAGTCCTGCTCCACCGGGAATTCGGAGAGATTGAACAGGGTGTGGCCCAGGCGGTTGGTCTGGTAGGGCGCCCCGGTACTTCTATTTGGACATTTCTGCCATTGTTTCCAAAAAGACAAAAGAGAAAGATTTTCATAACCCGCAAACTGGTTTCCTGACATTGCTGTAAACTAAGTGTGACTTTCCCTGGCTTTTGATTTTTAAGAAACTATCTCCAGCCTTTGCATGTGTTCTGATTTCTCAACTCTCTTTAAGAGTCCCTTATATTTGAAGATTGTGGGGGAATTCCACAGTGGCCGGGCAGTCGATTACATCTGAGAACTTCAGATCCTTTTCCCTGTGTAAGCTGGGGCAGATTTGTAAGAACTAGAAAGGGGAGAGTGTTTTGACCGGGGTGATCTTGGGTTTGATGAAGCTGAAAGTCAGCAGCATAGTGGGGAGGAAGGTGAGCAGGAATCCCCAGGCGTGTGTTCCTCTCCTGAGTGTTTGAAGTGCAATTCACACAGCCCCTCCCCGCAGCTCGGGACAGTGGCAGCTCGGGGTCTGAGCCAGAAAAAGAGCACCAAGCAAGAGAGGAGCCAGAGACCCCCGCCGGAGGCTGCCAAGGGACACGCGTGCCACACACCAGTGCTGACACAGCACATTTGCCACCATTTCGGCCAGAACCGCAGAGGAGGAAATAATGTACAAAAACACCATCAGCCCCTGCACCTGCCCTTCCGGCTCTGAAGCACCCGTTCTCACCGGCACAAAAGGGAAATAAAACCAGCCTGACCTAATGCACAGGATTGCTGTTAGGGTCAGAAATACCTTTTTTTAAAGTATAGAAAAGTTCAAAGGCTGTACAGGCTGAAGGCTTTACTTTTAGGATCCCACCAGACAGGCCTGGGGGAAGACACGCAAGAGAACACTCCTTGCTGTCAGAGTTCAGCCAAACTCCTACTCCTAGGTAGGATCGGAAAAAGTCAAACTCAGGGAAACAGAGTAAAATCGTTGTTGCCAGAGGCAGGGGCAGTGCCCATCAGAGAGACGTTGGTCAGAGTACACAAAACATCTGCTAGATGGGAAATACATTTAAGAGCGTGCAGTGCGGTGATCGCAATCGAACACCATGCACTGTATATGTGAAAATTGTTAAGAGATAGGTTTTGGTTGTTCTCATCACAAAAGCGTGAGACGGTAATACACTGTGGAAAGCCACCTTCAGCTTTTAACATACGCATTCCTTCTGGAAAAGCTGGACTTAGCCATCCCAAAATACACGCACGTGTCACAGCTTCACTGTCTACACCACACTATATTCAATTTCTACTTGTCAATTAAAATAAGTGGGTAAGTGATTCAGCCAAACCCAACTATCATGCTCACAGATTGACATAATAACCTTTAAAGTTTCTCGGCTTCTGGTATTTCTTCCTCCAATTTACCATATCACTGCACCGAGACATGTGTTTCTACTATGCTCTTTTGATTTTGCGGAGTCCTTTGCTTCATCATTATTTCTGAAACTTATTTGGCTGCAGAACTTTCCACATGAAACCTTTTATTCTTCCAGGTATGTTACTGAAATCTCATAGTCCATGTGAGCCAGACAGGGTTCAGGAACACAAACAGAAAGCATTTTGATACGCACTCACTTATCCTTTAATCACTGGCACACAATCTAATCAGAATAAACTTTGGCAGCTGGTAAACAAAAGCTCCTGATATAATAGGATGCTTAAATCAGTGCTAACGAATAAAAATGCAGAAAAACATTGCAAGCTTTATGAGCACACAGAAGAAGCAAGACAGAGAAAAACAAATAGTTGTGTTAAAAAAAAACCTTGAGCAAAAGAGAGCCGGTCAGAGTAACAGAGCTTCACATACTGCTGAGCTTGTTATTCCCCAGGATGAGCACCCCTGTGCCACCCAGCAGCCTCTTGGCCACAGCTTCAGCCACGGGTTCTGGGTCATCACTCTTGTGTATTCTTAACTTTGGTCTAAAAGAGGAAACCAGACCAAGCTCTGAAAACGCAAACTTTCCACACTCCGAGGAATGCATGCCCTGCCCGCTAACTAGAAAGGGCCACAAAAACGTTCTTTGTGTAGCCATTTCCTTCACAGAACCTCAACTAAGAGTTCTTTCTTTTCCCTTGCTAGATAAATTAGAATTGCCACATGAGCTGGTGGGCTGTAGGTAGCAGGCCTGTGCCTTTTATTAAGTAGCTCTGGAGATTTCCCTGGAGACAAATCCAATCAGTTTTCCACATCGATTTCAGAATGTTTGCCTTCACAGACTGGGCAGCTATATCCTTCACATCAAGGATGGAGTATTAGTTAAGTGTGGTGGTGCACGTTGTCCTCCCATCCCTCAGGAGGCTGAGGCAGGAGGGTTGCTGCAAGTTCAAGGCCAGTCTGGGTTACACAGTGAGTTCAAGGCCAGCCTGAACTACGTAGTGTGATCCTGTCTCAAAAAAAAAAGATTGACTATCTAGTTCCATACATTTTGTGTGACTCAGTCACAGTCAGGGATGCTAAGTGATATCTTAGTTGTTAATATCCAGCTCTCAGAACTCAAATAAAAATATGGTGAGTGCCGCCTTAAAGCATGAGGAAATGCGCGCCCTATGGGGTGAGTCCGACTTCTTTTGAATGGAAGACAACTCCCCAGCTTCATTAAGGCCTATGGGAGGGCAGGGGGAGGTTGCTAATGATCCGGAGCAGAAGGCAGAGAACTGGGAGGATCGAGCGTTGTGTAACGTTCACATATGCGATTATGTGGTGAAACTTTTCCTAGCAGCAGCCAATCAAGTGAAACAAAAGTCACAGTGACTTAGAAAACAAAAACGCAGGCTTTACAGTTGCCGTGAACCCATCCTTCTTCTCTTGAAGGTTTTATGTAAAAGATCAGAACTGCGGCAGAACTTACCAGGCAGCCACAGGAATCCTGGAATTCCGAGGGAGACAAGGGATCCCGGTGCCAACATGAAGAATTCATCCTAAAGCACAAAAGAGAGACCAGGAATGGGCTTTCGGGTCGCAAAGCTATTTTATGTCCATGAAAGAGCGCTCTGGCCCAGGAGAAGGCGGCTCCCGAGATAATCGCCTCCCACCGCCTCCAAGGCGGCGTTCTGCCCGTTTTCCCAGTATGAGCGGCTAGTCTGATGTGGGCGCTTCATCACACCACAGCCTCTCCAGTATGTGGCAAGGTGCTCACTCGGCTTGTACTAGCTGGGCTCCCGGACTTTGCTGGGGATCCTGGGCTTGCAGGGGGTGGGGGTGGGCGGGGAGGCAAATAGTCTCATGATGGGAGGGGCCAGGAAACCATTCATTAATAAACCTAGCTAATCCCTGTGTGTGGCGTGACACAGGAATTTTGTTATGATGCAGGGAGAAACCGCGATTACATTTCCATTCTGAAGAAAGTCGGTGCCACAGAGGGTTACAGAATGGTACAGCAGTGGTTCAAGCTTTTTCTATTGCAGAGTTTCCCGACAGCCGTTTATCCTTGAGGGCTCCATACTTCCAATCTGTATTCTCACATGCATAAATCAAAATTTACTTGAGTAATGGCAGTCACTCTTAATTACTCACACTGGGGGAGAACAGAGGACACTAACATTTACTGGATTGTAGGTATCAGCTAGATTTTTTGACCAAATTCCTCTTCCCTCCCCTAACTTTTAGAATAAGGAAGGCACAGTAGTGCACACCTATAATACCAGCACTCAGGAGGCTGAGGCAGGAGGATCACTGTCAGTTCAAGGCCACCCTGGGCTACATGAGCAAGTTCCAGGCCAGCCTGAACTTCACAGTGAGACCCTGTCTCAAGGAAAAAAAAAAAAAAAGAAAGAAAAGAAAATAAATTAAGAATAAGGACTACAGTTCTGAGAAGTTAGCAAAGGTCAGACCTGCTGGGCTCAAACTCAGGTTCGAGGTCCAGGCCGGCGTCCACAGCCCAAGCCCACGGGTGCCACCTCAACTTGGCCAAGACGGGCTCAGTGAGGGAAACTTGCTCCTTCCTTTAACCGGGTTAGCAAAAGTCTATTTTCTACGTAATTTTTTGAACTATCAAAAATGTAAAGACTTCTCCGAGAACTGCTTCCTTGGCTGGTCAGTCTCGTCTGGGGACTGGAGTTTGAGATTTAACAGTTAGCGCGGAAGTAATACCAAGGGAGTGACATATTTAACTGCTCTGCTGATGTGATTATTACTTTTTAAAAGAAAGACCCCCAGTGTGGTTCTTCCACTCACAAGGCGCCATCTGCTTCACACGCATGCCCTCCATGATGGTGTGGGCCCACCACGCTGTGCACATGTCTGTCCCCCAAGCGTTCGTGTTTGAGCAGTTTGGGAATGTGGTGGTGGTGGGAGCCTGTGCAGGTGAACGCGGGGGGTAGAGGTCCTTTAAGAGGACCTTTAGGAGGTGAGGACTCATGAGAGGTAATAAGGTGGCCCCTGGGAGCTCCACACTCAGAATGGATCACGCGGGCTCCAGTCAGCTCCTGAGAGAGCAGCCTGCTGCCCACACGCTGCGCCTGGCCCTCACTCCTTCCCACTTCCTGTCTTGCCACGTGAGCTCTTCTCCCGGCCACCACATGCAATGCCAGTTTTCAGAGCTACGCAGGTGCCTGCAGCACGCTTCTGCACCCCAGATCTGGGGGCTAAATCACCTCTTTTCTTTGTAGTGAACAAAGCTTGAAGCGCTCAGTTGCATCTTCAGAACCCGGACTAGCACCGCAAGTCTATATAACTAAGAAAATTGCTTCAGAAGATTAGTCCTCTTTTGCTCTTCCCAATCCTCATTATTCTGGCCCCAGCGCCCTTGGACAGGGCAAACATACACAGCCATTAGAGTTTGCATAATGAGCCGGGACAGTGTGTGACTGGTTCCCGTGTTCTGAGCATTGCTCCGCTTCTCACAACTTTTGTGTCCAAAGATTGACCATGAATCTGTGAAAGAGATGGGTGGCTTGAATGACAGGTATAGAACTAGAAGTTTCTGTGTCAGTTTTCTTCTGGGGTCTAGGAATGTAAACACACGCTTTAACTTAGCAAAGCACACCCCTAACTCCATCTGTGGGAGACACCTGCCAGGATGCTGCTCCGAAATAGATACTTCGTGATCAACGTCCCTTGGTGCCTAAGGTTTGGAAATGCTAGGACACATAGGTCTCTCCAATGTTATGGTTTATATCTAGGGTCCCCCCCAAAGCCTCATGTGCTCACAGGTGGGGCTTGGGGCCGTGGCTGAAGCAGGAAGACTTGTAACCGACTTGTTATTAGACGGTGAGGTCTCAACGGAAGAGGTGGGTTGCTAGGGCGTGGCCTGGAAGAGTCTATCTCTTCCCCTATCTTCCTTTCTCTCCCTCTGTCTTCTCCGCAACCATGTGATCAGCAGCTCACCTCTGCCATGCCCATGTGCCACGCCACCCTGCCTTGGAGCCAGGGGACCATGGACTGAACCTTCTACCAAATGAACCAAAGTAAACCTCTGCTTCCTTACACTGTAGGTGTCAGGTATTGTGTCTCAGCCACAGGAAAGTGACTAATACATATACGATCTAACATGCACGGAAAATCTTGAAGACAGAGGCAGAGGTGTGAGAATATCTCTCAAGAATGGCACTCTGCAAGAAAAACTCAGTGAAAGGGACCAAAAGCACTCCGCAGAGGTCATTCCGTCATGGATGAGCACCGTTCTGGGAACACCAAGAGCTCCAGGAAGTTGCTGGGTCACGCAGCAAATGAGGGTAGCGTGAGGCTGGATGGAGGCAGCCTGGTTCTGCTCCACTGTGCCAGATGTGCACACTCTGTGCTCTGGACCTCTGCTCTCCACCTTCCCCTACAGGCTCCTCGGCAAGGCCCTATGAGCATCTCTGTGGGCTCCTAAGATCTCATCTTCTAGCACCCACCAGGCCAAGGGGCCGCAGACCATCCCAAGCACAGGAAATCTTAGGCAGCTGAGAATCTTCATCGTATTGCTGCAGTCTAATCATGGAAATGTGGGGTTTTTTTAATTACAAAAATAAACTTTACACATCTCCCCTGGTGGCCTATTAGATTTGACAGAAATATGTAAAAGATCTGTGAAAGGCAACTTCTCGTTCTGCATTAAAACAGTGAGAAGCATGGAGATGGGGGGACCATCTTATCTCTGAAATAGTAGAGGGAATTTGTCACTCAAATGAGCCTTGTAAGATGAAATGACTTATGGAAATCTGCCCCTGTGCTTCTAATAGTTGGCATCATTAGCACATTTTAAGATTTAGATTGGGCACCATCTATTATTATGAGGAAAATTAATTTCAGCAGATTTACACCACAGTCAGTTTTCCTAGAGTTCTTTCTGCTCATCTGCATGAAAGAGAGGTGGAAACTACAGGCCAGCTCAGCACCCTTGGGTCTGCTGCTCTGGGATGAGTATCTCTATAGACCAGGAATCCATGAGCGGAATCAAATCTATTACTTAAAGTTGCTCAGTCTAATTAATAGGCAGCTGCCTGCTAAGGTCTGGGAGGAAGATAAAATGTAGATGTCATTGAATTCAAGAACACTTTGTACTTAACAGAAGAGAATTTACTGATGAGAATGCTTTTGCTTTGATTTGGGACCATAGTGTAACAAGCCCTGTTTGTGTAATAGGGACATCATTATTACCAGTATTCACAGCTTCTGCACATGCAGCAAGCCAAACACCCCAGGCTTGTACTATGCTGACCATTTCGGTCTAGATCTAGGGTGTCCCTCCAAAGTTTCATGGATTCAGATGTGGGGCTCTGGAAAGGTGATTGGATCATCAGTGGATTCATCTATGGATGAGTTCATAGCTGAATGCACTGTCAGGAGCTGGAGCCTGGTTGGAGGTGGTCACGGGGGCAGGGCGAGGTGACCTGGAAGGATGGGTTCTTGTTCCTCACTCCTCCCACCCCTCTCTGCTTCCACTTCCTGGCCACCATAATGTGAGCAGCTCTCCTCCTCCAGAGCCTTCCACTCCTGCCTTGGAGCCAGCTGACCATGAACTGAATCCTCTGAAACTGTGACCTAAAATAAACCTCTTCTTCCTGAAGTTTCAAGAACCAGGTATTTTATCCCAGTGATAAGGAAGTGACCAATACACGGACCAAGAAAATGAGTACAAAGAGGTACAAAACAAGGAGTTAAGGACTTACTATGTGGGTTCTACAACAGGAAGCAAGAGAACAGCACAAGTCCAAGAGCACAGGAGGAGGAGCAGGAAGCCCACCTGAGGGTGGGGAGCATGCTGGGCACAGGGAGAGGGCTCTGGGCGGAGATAGAGGCAGGGACTTCCAGGGCCACTGCCGTGTGTTTCAAGTAGCTGCAACAAACAGATCCAAGTAGAATTTTGGCTATGTTCTCTGGTTCTTGATGCATGACTCCACCTCTGGTTCTTACTTGTGAGACACTAGATAAAAGACATAATTTTCATCTGCTAACCAGTCTTTCTTTGATGCAACAATGGGCCAAAAATGGGCCCCTGGAGGGGCTGATGTGATTTACATCCTCCCCAATTCATTAGAAGGGGAGGGAAATAAAATCATCACCACTGACACCTTGGCTAAATGAATTACTTTGTTTTTCAGAAGAAGACTAAAGGGAAGCAACATAATTAATTATCTATTAATTCTTCCATACTGAGAACATTAATAGTTATTCAGTCTCAAACAAATTACCAACATGACAAATGGGAAAAATATGTCACCACAAATTAGGAAACATATTGCCAATATTGCATCCTTGTCTGGCTTTCTGTATTTATTACTTTAAAAATACACTTCTACCATTCAATTTATGGTTTTTTATCACTTGCCTCATTGACTATATCCAGAATTATAAATTTCTTCAGACTGGGCCATATACATTTTATTAATCTTGATGCCTAATGCAGCATTTTATTTATTGTAGATCCTCAATAAATAAAAGTTGAGAAAATAGGAAGAAAAAACTATGCTAAAAGGAATGCTCTAGCAGGACTTCATAGAAAGGTCATCTGTACATTATCCTTTTCGGATCCTAGGAAGATCACCTTCACAATTATTCACCACACACTGATGCACTGACCTTTCTTATTTTTAAAGCTTTAAAATTTTTTAACTGACACATAACAACCATGCTTATTTATAATATGCAGTGTAATACTGTAGTGCATGTACACACTGTATAATGACCAGATCAGTAAAAGAATCACATCCACCGTCTGACGTATGTGTCATTTTTGAGTGCTAGAAAATCAAAAAGGCTTTACAGTAAGTATTTTGAAGTGTTCAATTAACTGTCAGTGATGGCATCAGAAGTCATTTCCCCTGTGCATGTGCACCCTGTCTGTACCCATAAACCATCTCTCCATCCTGCTCACCCTGCAAGGCTTGGGTCACTGCCCTACTATTGGCTTCTGTGATGTGGAATCCACTTTGGTGACCATCGATGGATAGGCTGATAAAATGTGACAGATGCATAGAGATACATACACAAAATAAATCAGGCACTGCATGTCAAATACTGCACGTCCTTACTTCTATGTGTACTGATCTCTTGCATCTCTTTTTTTGAGAGAATTGTAACAACATTCCCACATGTGCAAGTTTTCTCTAAAGTTATGGATGTCAGCTCCATCCCCAGCTGCTGCTTCGCTCCTGTTACCCCTGGGGCTGCTTGTTTGTTTTTGCTTCTGCTGCACTGGGGAATGGAACGAAGTGCATCCTCACAGAGCTGTATCCCCACGTTTGTTGTTTTTTTTTTTTTTTCCATTTTGAGACAGGGTTTTCCTAAGTCACTGCATGGAGCTGGGCTCAAACCTTTTCTTTTCCTGCCTCAGCCTCCCAGAGTGCTAGGATTATGGCCATGCACCAGCTAGCTCTGGATTTTAGGAAGCAAACTGAATGCTACTTTTTTAAATTTTTGCGATAATACAAAGCATGTGTCGTGAAGGGTGGAAAGGGGCAATGACAGCTTCTTTTGGATCATTTTCTGTGATGATACCATCAGGCCTATTCGGTAATGACACACTCAGCAGGCAGATGCTCATTTCATGAACTGTAAACTTGCAACAAGAACTAACCCACGTCAGAGGGAACTGCCCGCCCATTCCAGTGTCACCATCCTGCAGGGGCACCTGATACTTACGGATCTGGGTCCGGATCAGCACAGGGAGGGCCCTGACCTCTGAACTTCCGCAAGAGCACAGGGGTGAGGTTCATGTCATCGGTCCCGCTACTGTTTGTGAAAAAGAAGTAAAGTGGAAACTTTAACACCCCCGGCAGAGGGCCAGGACCAGAGTCTGACCCCCCAACATGCCCATCAGGCCGATCCAATCACAAGATTCCTAGCTGCTCGGATAAAGCAAATTTTCCACGGTTTTTATGGTAAAGCCACACGAGCAAGAATAAAATTGAGAAACTTGTTCAGAGCACAGTTTTGTCACCACAGGCATGCATTTTCGTATACTCACAGCGTATTGTCTTTCTCACCTTTTACTTAATTTTATAACAACCATTTTTTCACTTACTTGCATGGATTTAAAAACAAATTTTAAGGACTGCATAATATTATATTATGTTAGTATATTAAAATCAGTAAAACTATTCTGTAAATGTTGGAGCTCTGGTTTGGTCTGAATATTAGTCTTATTAAATAGCCCTGCAATAAAGAATCATCTTATATCTTTTGGTTTCTGTATTTCAACTGCATTTACCTAGTAAGAAGCCTTCAATATGCAGTCCTGTGCATTTCAAGTACTCTTTGAGTTATGGTATTTATTCTGCTGGCATAAGCCTCAGAAGTCTATTAATAGTTCAAGCAGCATTACTAAATCCCAAGTCACTGAAGTTTTTTATTGAAGAGACCATCAGGAATAAGATATTCATATACCTTTGGGGGTGATTTAGGACCAAACACTATGTTCAATTTCACACATTAACTGTAAGAAACAGCGTGGGTTGAGAAAAATTAGAAGGAAAGATGTTTAAAACCTCAAAATTGAACTGAGTGGGAGAGGAACTCATTTTAATCAACGAAATTCCAGAATTGCAATACTTAGAATATAAATGTATTACTTTCTATAGCTTATGCTGTGCCATTTACAAAGTATTTTTGAGTGCACATTGTGAGGAACAGTTATCCCAGATATAAAGAAGAATGATATATAAACAACATTATAGAGGATTTGTGTATAAGTAGTGGCCTCAAATCTTTTTGGAAAGAACTAGTATGCAAATTAACCAACATATATAAGTGCTTCTTATAAAGAACTTATATTATTCACCTCTTTTCAGGAATGTACGTGACCTCAAAGTAACCTTTAATAGCTGATTTTTCTATTTGATTTGCTTTTTTGTGGGGAGCGAAAGATTGACTGCTTGTTATCTTTCCAGATTGCTGTCAATAATCAAGGGTAGGGAGGTCTGAGCTGTGCGGGACCCCACACCCCATATACCGTGGCACAAATGTTGGCCCAGGGGAGGAAAAACGTCCGTATTTTTGCAGAGAGATGAATACAAATGGTAGATGACCATTCTCCTCTGCTCTCTGAGCTGTGTAACACACCAACCTGACACGTTCTCCGCTAAAAATTTGTCATACAGTTCCTTGTATTAGGGAGACAATAAGGTATGCTTACACATGTGAGTATGATTTATTTATTTTATGAGTATTTACCTATAAAAGCCTCAAGTTTGTCCTTCTTTATGGCTTAGTAATACTCCATTATATAAAAATAACACATCTTTTTTATCCATTCCTCAGCTGATGGGCATTTGGGTTGTTTCCAAGATTTAGCTGTGACAAATTGTGCTGCTATAAACATGGGTACACATATATTGTTGTAGTATGATGCTTTCAGTTCTGCTGGGAAGATACCCAAAAGGGGATACCTGGATCAAATGGGACCTCTAGTCCTCGTTTTTTTAGGAATCCCCACACTGATCTCCACAATGGTTTAAAAAATTGTCATAAAACCAGTTATCCCACTTCTGGGTATGCATCGAAGGGAAATAAGCCAATCAAAGCAATCAGTATCTGGGCTTCTGTGCTGATTCTGGCTCCATTCACAAGAACCAGGACCTGGGATCCACCTGGTGTCCATAAATGGATGGATAAAGGAATATTAAGCCACAAAGAAAAATGAGATGTTGTCATTTGCAGTGAAATGGGTGGAACAGGAGGACACTTTGTTATGGAAACAATCCGAGCACTGAGAGAAAAGCACTGCATGTCCTCTCTTGTAGGTAGAAGCCGCAAAAGTCAACCAACCCACAGAACAGCGATTATGAGAGGTGGGGAAGGCTGTGCAGGGAAGGTGGACAGAAGGAGACCCAATTTGAGGGATGCACACCGCAGACATACGTTGAAATGTCACACCGAACCCCACAAAGATGTAAAGCCCATATGTGCGAAGCAAAAGCAAAGTCTGCCACGATGGTGCAGGCCTGGGATCCCAGCACTCTGAGAGGCTGAGGCGAGTTCAAGCCCAGCCTCAACAATTCAGGGGTCAGGGAGACTGTTGCAAATATAAAATTATATATACACATATATTACATGTGTGTGTTTGTGTGTGTAGACAGATAGTTCTGAAGGAGTATTGGAGCCCTCCACTGTCTTCAGAAATAGACATTTTTAGACCACACTAGCCTCCAGAAAGCAGTACCCAATCCCGTCCATCCCAGGCACCCAACCCGGCCCATCCCAGAGGAAGCACTTGCTGAGTGGGTGGCCCTGCCTTCTCGGCGTGGGTCCCTGAAAGTCACTATTCCCGCCTCCAGAATGCAGGACTGGAAAACAAATCCTGCCTGTCTGTGAGCCTTGGCTCCAATGCTACTCCCACCAGGATCCTGTTCCGCTTCCTCCCCTTCCCTCTCCCCTTCCCCTCCCTCTCCTCCCCTCATCTCCCTGTCTCCCTCCTGTCCTCCTCCCCAGTGGAGTTCATATACATCTCTACTTCATGTAGCTCTAGCTTTCTCCTTCATCTCATTCCTGGAACCAAACAATCTTAGGGAGAAAAGATACTACTTTTAGGACAGTAGGTGCACTTTAGCAGGTTTTCAAACATAATCTGTCAAAGAAATTGTGATTTATTACTAATGCATTAGAATGATTGACATAACCCTTCATGCTTGTCCCGTTAGTGTAGGCCCCCAAATCTGGCCTTCCCTGAGCTTTTACTATTCAAACACAAACAAAATTTCATCACAAAGAAATAGAAACTCATCGTACCCCATGAAGAGTTTATTTCTGCTGAGGAGAACAGTGCTTTCAGAGATTTAACTGTGTATAAACCTGGACTACAAACATCTGTACAGCATCTAAGCCAGAATGAAACAGTTAAGTATAGGAATACCTCCTTCCCCACCACTGAATACAAAGACTTTTAAGTCCAAGAGCAGTTTATAACTAACTTAATATGATTCCCTACAGCTGCGGCTGGAGGTGAACAGTGGTGAAAGGGACTGAGTTGACAACCATGCTGATCCCATGTAAGGAAGCCAGAGATCTGTGCACAAACAAATTCGGAGCACCCCTGCAAGGAAGTCGCTCACTTTCTACTCACATGTGACCTGTATAAGAGGAAAATATCACTTTGTGGCCTCTCTAGAGAAATAGCCCTGGATCACTCATCTATGATCCATTAATCCAAAAAATATTGTTTCTTAAAAAAAAAATTGATCCATGAAGTAGTTTACGTGCAATAGTTACTAAGAACAAACTAAAAAATTGTGCTTTATTTTTTCATTGTCTTTTCCCCCACTTAGGTCCAGAGGTCATTGTTTTAAAAAGCAATAAAAATTGGCTCTAAAGTATCTCATTTGCCATAGATTTCAAAAATTTACTCCTAAACTATCCTTCTTTGTTTGCCTTTAAGCTCTTGGCTTGAAGGTAAAATGCAGTGTTTGGAGCATCTGGTGTTTGTCCTTACCAGACTCTAAGAACTGAAAGTTACACATAATTGTGCTACTAAGTGTATAAATAGGGTCACTCTCTCTTTCCTAAGGATTATTTCTCAAAATTTGATGCACAATAGAGTGACCAAGGGAACTTGGTGTATTGCTAAGCATTATGGTTTGTGTCTGGATGTCCCCCTGTGAACCTCATGTGGACAGGGGGAGCAGGTTTTCAAAGGCAGCTGAATCTAGAGTTTGTGATTAGTTCACTGTCTAGTGCTAGGATTTGGCATGAGTGCTGCACCTGAACTTGGGCAGGTGGCCTGCATACAATATAAGGGAAGTAAGGAGGCTGGCTCCTCCCATTTGCCCCTGTTGCTCCCTTTTGGCGCTTGCTGCTTTTGCTGTCTTCTAGTGCCATGAATTTTTGTCCCTCTGCCATGTTCCACTCTGCCTTGGAGTCAGCAGATTATGCACTGAAACCTACACAAACTGTGAGCTAAATAAACCTTTCCTCCCTTAATTCTTGGTATTGCCTATTTGTCTCAACAATGAAAGAAATGTAACCAAGACACTAAGAATCATCCTATAGGGCTGCCCTGCTTAACAGGAACCCCCAGTGATTCTGACACAGATGGGATCAAACCAACCTTGCCAAACATTGCAGCTTCTATAAAAACAGCAGCTTCTGCTCTCCCTTCTCTCGTCCCTTCCACTTGAAGCTCCAGTCTCTCTGTGTCTTTTGATTCAGCCAGCTCTGATGTTGGTAAACATCTGCTTCCACAGAACTGTTATGCCAGTGGTGGTAAATCTACAGCACCCAACCTGCAGTGGGCTGTTTGTATTACTGAAAGCCCTAAAAGGTCTACCATCATCATCTGAGACATTTGGGGGAATGTCACAGGCAGAGGTTGTTCAGACCCATCATCACTGTGACCACAGGCTGAATCCTGGAATACAGCATCAAGGGACAAAGACCTGCAAGGACTCATCTTGTGAAGAGTGGCCTTCAGAGACCTGCAAATCTCCAGTGGTGTTGACCTCAGCCTCCTCAGATCCATCAGAAGGGCTGATGCCTTCTTGTTCCTGAAGCAGGGAGAGTCTGAAAAGTAGAAAGGTCCCTCAGCTACATGGGAAAAAGTCCCTCAGCCACCTGCACCTCAACAGAGGTAGTGTGTGCTTTGACTCCAGCTCTGAGAGCTCCCTCCTGTCCACAGTGACATCCTGTTCTGATCTGACAAAGCAGCACCGACAACCACTATCCAGGCATTCTAGGAAAACTGAGTGTAGAAGCTTACTAAAACTATGGTCACTAGACGAATACACAATTTAACAATCAAATCTACTTAGAGTTCAGAAGCAATCACTGAGATTCATATACCTGCACAAGGCTTCCTAAACCCAGGAAGGATGCTTTCCTGAAGATAATAGTAAAAATGTAGATTAAGAGAGTCGCCACCATTTAGATAGAAAAGGTGCCATGGGAGAAATATCACAAAGACAAGACAAAAGGGAAGATTAAGAAATCTTTAAGACAAAATAAAGAGCTTGAAAGATGGATCTAGGAGATCACAACATGAGCTGTAAAAAAGGTGTTCTAAAAAGAGGTAAAGGGAGATGGATGTGAAGAAATTATTAAATCAATAACAGAAGAAAATTGGCTTGAACTTGATAAAGAATGAAGTCTACAAGTTTGCTACAAAAGAAAAATTTTTAAAAAGGAAATAATTCCCCTCTCCAAGGATAAAGAAGAAATCTTACCCATCATAGTTGCCTACAAGAGGAGGAGAAATGCTCCAAATCAGACTTCATGCCTGGAAGATGCAAGAATAACCCCCAAGGTTTCACTCCCCGGAGTTTAAAACTTCTTCACGTCTCTCTTCACTCAGTTTGCAGAAGAAAGACTCTTCTACTTAGAATGCTGCATAGCATCTGCCAAGAAGCCCTGAGACTTACTGACCAGCCCTGTTACTCATGCTTGAACTCTAGAAGAACTGTTCTATTCCTTCCTCTGAAAGAATCTTTCTCTCCTATTTGCCTGGGAAATACACACTGAACTTTGAAGATTCCACAGATGCCATGGTTTTATAAAATCCCTCTCTGGCACCCTCAAAGGGTTCTGCCTGCAACATAGGCACAAGCCCTTCACCAAGTAGTGACCACAACATTTATGAGACTCCCCTCTGTCTCGCAACTTGCCTGTGAATTTTCTCAAGATAAGATTTGTGTCTCTGCATATTGCCATGCTTTGGAAATGGGTTCAGCACTTATCCCTGAACTCCATGTGTTAGACCTTCAGCCCCAGTCCGGCAGCGCTGAGGTGGTGAAACCATCAAGACATGTGTCTTACTAGAATGCAATCAGATCCCTAGGGCTTCAGTTTCAGAAGGGATTAATGCTGGTCTTGTGGGATTGGATTAGTTCTCAAGAGAGAGGCTTGTGAGAAAGGAACTACAGCTGTATCTGGAGTGAAGCCAGCCAAACTGAGGCCACAGTTAGCAATGACTGGGATTCTCCTTTTAGAGTCTCAATCCACTATAAATTCCCAGCTCTGAGAAGGTCTTGTATACACTCACTGGTGGCTAAACTTGGGCCATTTTGGACATATTGCCAGCAAATCCTGGTCTTCCCTGGCCTGCAGAGAAGTGTGTGCAGTATGTGTTGTCATCCTAAAAGTAACTGTGGGGAGAGGTGTGAAATATACAATTTATATACTTTGCTGAAATCCTCAAATTCTGGAATATATCTGGCCCTCTACTTCCTGCTAAGGGCCTGGAAGGCAGTGTATGCCAGACCTCATGTCCCTGTTCACCAAGAATTCTGTCGGGGGGAGGAGCCAGCCACACTGGGGTCAGGGGCCAGGTTGCCCCACTGGTCCTACGCACTTGCTGTGAGGCAGCCTAAGAGGAGCAAAGGCTGCCCAAAACATGTTCCTGTGGATTCTGACCTCAGAAGTAAGAAAAGTACTCATAGCAGTCTTTTCTCCTGTGTTAGGGATGGAAGCCAGCACTTTGCATGGGTGATGCAAACACTGCCTTCACCCTAGCACCCCAGCCCACACGTTAGAAATCCGTTATCTAAAATTCTTAAGAACACCAAGGCTATTGCTGTTTGTCTTTGTCCAGGCTGGTCTCGCAAAAGACCATACACTAGGAGACTTCTGAACAACAGAAATTCGTATCTCACAGTCCTAGAGGTTGGAAGTCAGGAACCAGGGCCGGGCCCCTTGGGAGCTTCTCCTGGGGCGCCTGGCCGGGTCCCATGGGAGCTCCTCCTGGGGCACAGGCACCTGCCTCCCTTGCGCAGAACACACAGTGTCATTAGTAAAATTGATACACAGCCGTGGCTGGGCCAGGGCCTGCACTGGGCTCAACAGATCAAACCAATGCAACATGTAACCACAGTGACTGAGGTTCTGCTGGTCACAGGCAGCTCCGTAGCTGATTCCCCAAGCCACAAAGAGCTGGCTGCTTCACCAGCCACACTACAGGCAATGAAGCTGTCTTCTACCCCTTGAGTCTGTTCTAGACAGGGTTGCTGCCTGTAGTTCTGAGAACCTGCCTGCCTCTGGGAGCTGCCCCATTCATGAGTCATTTCTGCTTTGCTTTGTTCTGTTTAGAAAACTATACTAAACTTAATTGCTCTAGGGAACATTCTTTCCAACAATGTCCCTGCAGGGAAGAAAGCACTGCAGTTGGTTTCCTGGTCTCTTCGGAAGGGACAAATCACATTCATAAAGGACCCACCCTTCTGCCTAGTCAGCTCCTACGCCCCCTCCTAGTATGATCTGATTTCCACATGAGGGTTTAGGAAAAACACATTCAGTCCAAAACCCTACTCATAACCCACCTGGTAAATTTTGGGGAAAAAGAGGAGAGCAAGTCTCTTACCTGAAAAAGTATGTCTCCGCACTCTCATAGTGGCCCGGTGCCATTTGCAGGGGAGGGTAGTCGGTGGCCAGAGGCTGCACCATGAACAAGCCCATGGCCAAGGCCACAAAGAGGACGGGCAGCAGCAGGTCACAGGCTGTGTTCTTCCAGGCTCTGCACGTGCAGAGCAGTCGCTTCCTCAGGAGTGCGGACATCTGCGCAAGGAGTAGTTGGTGGCCGTGGGCCGACACAGGTAGGGTTCGTTGAGGTGAAGTCTGCACAGCAGAGCCAGCTGCAGTGGTAGAGAGGTCACCAAAGTGAGCTGGCTGTGGCTGCGGGTGGACATGGCTCCCAATACCTGTGTGGCTCTTTTAATGATGTCCTTTCTATAGGTGACCCTTTCAGAAGATCATGCATGCTCACTTCTGCAGCAAAAGGACCACATGTGGCCCTACTACACCTCTGCTCTGGAAGGCAAAAATCTGAGGTGATGTTTAACGGTGGCATAAGACATCAGACCAAAATGGAGCTCTGATCTAACTCCTGGGAGCTAGGGACAAAGGCCCAGGATAAAGGCACATGTTCAGCTTTAGGGACTGGAATAAAGCCTGACGCCTAGATGTGGATTCCAATGCCTCAAAGACAAACAGCTGCAAGAGGTTCTCTGAGCCCTACATGCACTGACAGAAGTAGCAGGGTGTGGGTGCGGGTGCAGGAAGACTGCTCTCCCGGTTAGATCCCCCTTCTCCTGCCATCTTTTCCTTTTAGCTTTCACCCTGATTTCTTCCCTGAGAAATCCTCTGCTTGTGAACAGGTCGGGTCTCAGGGGAAAACCATGCCACCCAGCTGCCCTTGCTTCAGCCTTTGGCAGCCCCTCCTGCTCCTTCTGCCTGCTCAGCCAAGGCAGAGGGGAGACATCAGCCCCTACGTCAGCCACCCCTGTGCCCTGGGGACCTCGGCAGCCCCATGTCCCCTCCTTTCTCCTCCGTATCGATGCAGAAGCTCTGAAAACAGTCCTGGCATCATGAAAGTCAGCCGGTAAAATTCGAAAGAAAATCATACTTTGTGCTCTGTGATCATCTGAGGATTCTGCAAAAGGTCTCTCAATACACATGCTTTGGTTTAGGGGAGCGTTCCCACAGGGCCACTGAGCGGGAGAAGTCAATAAGAAGCGAGGCAGACCCAGGGCTGTCCCCGAGAGCATGCCTCACACAGGGACCAGATTGACCAGTGAGTGATCTCAGCAGCTGTCCCCAAGCGGCTCCCTACACAAAATCCAACACCACGTGTTTTACATGGAAAGTGGTCTTAGGAAAGAACAGATATCCTAAACGGATTGTCGTGCTCATCAATACCCAAGCAAAATGCAGGTACTGGAACAGCAGCAGCAGAGCTCTTCCCAAGGCGACTGTACCATTTGGAAAGATGAGTGGTTTTAAATAGTATCGTGATCGGGCTCGGGAGCCACGGTTGGAAGGGAATGCAGAGGTGGGCTTCGCTGCTGCCTTCAGAGAGACTGACCGCAGGCCCAGCACACAGCAGGCACCGGGCTATCTGGGTCTGTCCTTTAAAAATGTGTAGCAGAGGAACTGAGCTGAAAACAAAGAAATCACCCCACACGGAGACAAGAGTGGGGGCAGAGGGGTGCAGATGCCCGAGCGGAGGACAAAGCTCCTCCGGGATGCGGAGAAGTAGGCAGAGCTGCAGAGGCATCAGAGGAACCCTTACGATCCAGCAGGAGTGAGTGAGCAGATGGGAATACAAAAGATGCAAAGCTTCAACTCAAACAGGAGATGCAGCCAGGCACCGTGCGCTCTGTGAGCCCCGCGGAGGTGGGCAAAGGTAGCACTGATGGCAGCAGTGCAGGAGGCAAAATGGACGGTGAAAGGCTGTGACTTCCCAGGGCCTGGCCCGAAGACTCCCAAGCCAAGTCACCTGAGCACGTGCCAGTATAATGCCGAGTCGCCCTTCACAGCACATAAACAGAGTTCCAAGGGGTGGTTTGTAAGCCATGCTATACATCAGATTCACCTGGAAGCGGTGTTGAAATGCTGATTTCCAAGCTCAACTACAGAAAAATATCTGAATCATGAAGGACTCAGAGAGAAAAAAGTGAGTCTAGCTTTCCAGGGGATTCTGATATCCCGATGGCTTCTGAAACCATCTGATTTAATGCACGAACACTGCCCACAGAGGTTGTAGTGCTCAAAAGTTGTAATATTAAGCTCAAGGCGACACTTTTGTGTACGTATATGTGCTCTTCTTTATAATTTTATGGGATTATAATTCTGGCTAAATTTGTGGTCTGATATATGCTAATCTAATATGAGAATTATGGAAGTTATCTCACTTGAGCAAAAATAATCGAGATGTTTTGGGGTTACCCATTTCCTAGATTTCAAAATGTAATCATTGACTTAATTTCTTGATGTGTTCACTGGCTTTTACCTTAGCAATTTTTTTTTTCCTCCCTGTAGAGCAGAATGGTTTGCTTTGTTTAGGTTCAAGAGAAACTCAAAGGTCTCTGGTAGGTCCTAGGATTCCCCTTCACACTTTCATAGTTAGCTCCTACTAGAAGTACAATCCACAGATTAGGGTTTGCATGTATAGCAAATTTGACATGTCCATCCAGCAGCCCACAAGCTGTGTACCTTTTCCTATAAGGTACAGCAGACAAAGGCTGTGAATATCTGTGCAGGTAACAGGAAGCGGGTATCTGTGCATCAAGTCTGCCCTGGTGATGGCTGGCGGTGGAGGCAGAGACGGCATGGCGGCTGGTGCTACCAACTTGCTCCCTGAGGCCAACAGCAAGAGAGAAATGGTGGGTGGAATTCAATCCACCCTGACCCGATGTGAACCCAATCTCAATCACCTGCATCCTGTGTGACTTCTGGAAAACCACGTCACCTCTCTAAATGCCATCTCCCTTGTTGTAAACTACAGACTTACAGCAGTTTCCTCCCAGAGAATGAAGAGTATAACTAGAGCATGTATTAAACTATCAGAACAGGTACACACTGACCTCTACTCACAGTAAATGTTTGCCTGACAGTTTCAATAAGTCTGCGGGGAAAGGTGTGCCTCCTATTAAGAAGAATAAATTTTCTCCACCTTCCCATATATGTTAATTGGACATAAATGAGAACCATCAAAGGCTGGGATAGTTTATGGTTATGAATTCACCACCAATCAAATATTCATGGCTAAATTTATAAAAGTATTCACATGAATAATTTAACAGACAAAATTAAAATGCTGGACCAAATTGTTATGAATTGTCTTATTTGAATTATGCGTGCAATTAAACGCAAAGACTCTAGCTATATCCACACCTACTTGTTCCCATTTACCCCACAGCCGCTGAATTACCTAACAAGAATGTCTAAAGACTTTTCTTTTTTCTTTTCTTATTTCATCAGTGGTTGCAGTTGTCCGAACATGAACACCTGGGGAGGAACAGTTTAAGAGATCGAGGACTCGGCAGGCTCCTCAGAATATGATGCCCATGTTACCAACATCACCAAAGTGTTCTTGAAGTTTTAAAATGAAGCATTACCAGTGAGAGGTTTTCACTTTAAAAACAAGATGGACACTCCAAAAGAAAAATAGACATACAGAATGTATCAAACCCTAAGAATAATCAATATATGAAATTGTCAGTGGAGGCAATAATTTGGCTTTTCAACTCATCAGTACAGTAAGGACTCAGAATAATGTTAACGCCTAATCTTACGGAGCATTCAAGGTAAAGGATCTTATACACAGCTTTATAAGATCTGTTTATAAGGTCAATTTTAGAACAGACCTCTACAGTAAAATGGAAAAACACATATGGACCTTTTCTGATCCACTTCCTTCCAATCCAAAAGTTTTATTACTTAAAAACCAGAAATACTTCTAATATATAAAGCAAGGTGACTTGTTATCTCTTATAGAAAATAGTTAATGGAAAATAGTTAATGAAAAAACTTAAATATCTAAGACATGGGGATTAACTGAACACATTCCAATGCAAGGTGGCTTTTATCAAATAACTTCTGCATTTTATATGCTATTTGATAAGGAAAGAGATTTAATGCAAACAGTACCCTGTTGTATGAGTATCATCCATCTGACTTGACGATTTAGTTATGTGTGCAGTGAGATTACAACAGCTTTAATTTTCTTCTCACAATTTTCTGAGTCTTTTTCAAGCATGAATATTTTTATTGATCTTGTAGTCAATAATGCTTCTGTAAAGACTATATATTTAAAGAAAGCACAGTTTTACGAGATAGAAACAGTGGGATACTCTGGGTTACAGAATTTTAAAACTGAAACAGCTTTAAAACAATGTAGTTGAAACCTTTCATTTACATATAACCACATTCAGTTTAGAAGAAGTTATGAAATAGGTCAAATTCAAGGGGATAGAATGTAGCTGCTGGTGTTGAAGTACAGCTGGTTCTCGCACTATTTGAATGAAGTTCTCCGAGGACCCGGTCACAGAGGAGGTAAGCTAAGTCCAACCAGGAGGGTAAAAGTACGCACAGCTGGGTCACGAGAAGCTTCCCCCAAGGAGGGCTGCCAACACCAGGATTCAAAATTTAAAATGTGTTTGCTGATTGGGGTGGGGGGGGTAAGGAGAGTGTGCAAGATGCTCCAGGAACCGAGGGATCCCGCAGAAAGGCACAGATCTTGAAGCACACACATGCTCAGCTCTGCAGGGGAGGGGTGAAGTCTACTTTCTGCTGCACTGACGTCCTGACCTCGGGCTTCTAAGGCATTCGCAGGCAGGAAGGAGCACCAATCACTGTCCCTGTTCTGGCACCCCAGGGCAATGGAATCAGGTGAGCTGTATGGAGCCTTAACAGTGCTACTCCTTCCCTTGGGGAATAAGTTTTAATGAGCTAAGTAGACACCACGGAAACGGGTATGAACCTTACCAGTGTCCCACAAAGGAAGCCACACAACCTAGCACCTGGACTCAGTATGCCTGACTTCCAGCCCTGGTAGTTTCCCCTCACTTGCCCCATTTATAAAACCAAAAGCTTACACGGGTTCATCAATCTTTGTCTCAGGAAGAACTACTGATGTGTGACATTTATACAAATCATGACTAACTTATCTTATTCACACCATTTGTATTTCCCCAAGAAGAAAACTAACAACTCAGATGGCCTCCCATCAGGGAAGAGAAGAGGGGAGAGGAAATCAGAAAGAATGGAAAGAAAAGCAAAAGCAAAAAAGTCAAATGGATCTGAACAACTAATTTGAAGACAACAATATGCAACATAACAACCATTAGTGAAT